ACCCCCCATCTTCCATGTATATATATGATACACACCTAAGTTGTATCACATATATATGCTTAAATTTTGTTTGTATCACATTCACTCACACCCCCATCTTCCATATATATATATATATATATGATACACACCTAAGTTGTATCACATATATATGCTTAAATTTTGTTTGTATCACATTCACTCACACTCCCCATCTTCCATATATTGAAAATACTAACATCTAGATTAGGACCTTAAGTTGAAAGATAATATTCTGTACAAAGTATCTCTGACTAAGGAACCTTTTTCTTCACTTACGACAGTAGAACAAATTTTGATTTTTTTTTTATTGGAAATGTCCTTCAGTTTAGAAAACTCTGGTTTCTCCTGAGATGTCTAACCCTGTGGTGGACTTATGTGCAGCAAACTCTGGCACTAGTGGGGTTTATAGAGAATTTTTCTAAACCATCCTTATGATTATTGTGGACCAATGACAGTGGCTGATTTCACAAGAGCTGAGCTCCTTTCCTTCTTAACATCTCAAAATTTTCTCTTCTATGAGCTTAGAGGATTGGTTATTTGAAGGGGGGGGTAATTGTCAGGTTATTTTAAGTGGGTGATTGGTTGTTCTTCCAGCCTTAAAAGGTGCTGACTGCTGAGACATCTGATGAAAGAGGCAATATCATTGGTGGCTAGGCTGAATCCCTTATTTTATTGGGCCCGAGATCTGCCAACTCTATGGAGAACTTGCTTACTCAAGAGGGTGTTAGTAGAAATGTGCTTCCAATGTAGTGCGTTTTGTCCTTTCTTTTGCTTCTTGCACTTGTTTTCCTTCCCTTTTTATGGGACCCCTTCTGTATTGGGTGCTCTTTCTTTATAATCTACCTTTTGATCATTAAATAATCTTCATTATGGTTAAAAGAATTGGATTTACCTTACCAATCTGTCATGTTCTACAAGATTCTTTCCTATTATCTTATTCAAATGTGCATTGATTTTTTTTTTCGGGTAAAGACAATCTAGATTTTAATTTTTTATCTGGTATTACAAACTCTTCATTAACCATAAAGGAAAAAGTGAAAGGGGATACCAAAACATGGCCCAAAAATAGGTCCCCATTCCCAAAAAAATAAAAAGAATGAAAACCTAGATGTTTTTGTTTTTTCTGGCTGTTGGATCCTGATCATTAGATTAGGTCACACCATCCATCACCCTCACATCTTCACCTCCCTAATTCCTATCACCATTTTTCCACCCTACAATCAACCATCAAAGTCATCCATCCACCCTCTAATCAACCTCTTGCACCCTTGTAACCTCTGCACAGTTAGATGCTCTTCAATCACTTTTCAGCATGGCTTACACATCCTTGACTGTGGAATGATGGCATTTATGATCCATCTTGTATCATGGACCTTTAAAAATGCTCTTTTATATACCTTAAATTTCAGGACATAGTCAATTTTACCAACCATGGTTGTAAAACAGTCTCCTGCTTTCTGAAACTACAACTGGCTACTGGATTTTGTAGCATTTCTTCTTTCTGGAAACCTTGTCAGTAGCACATGCAACACCTTGATCCGTAGTAACCTCTTTGCATGGTGGAACATTTATATTTCACTGACAGTTAATGTTGACTGTGCTATAGAACAACATTCTATTGGAATGTTATATCTTCATCCTTAACATTTTGCATAATAAATATTATTTTTAATCAGATTGGATAAGGAGATTGGTAGAATTCAAGAAACATTCTCTTCCATTTTCTTTGATTGGTAACATCAAGTATATATTAACAGAAAAAAACTAACAGCAGTTACAAATTAAAAAAAACAAGGACCTTAGTCTATGCATAAGTGCATCTATGACGTACCTGGATTGTGGAGAATGGCCAATTCATGGACTAATTTGACAGTTGACAATCATATCACAATCATCTTCACTTAATGTGGTGATTAAAAATGGAAATAATAGCAACAAAAAAAAAGTCTTTATTACCTACATACGTATTTAAGTTCAGATTTTGTAGAGTAGTAAATCTTTAATGAAGTGGAGTTTTATTGCTTGGTTGGCTTGATGCTTCGCCAGGGGCATAAACCTTTGTTTTGTTGCTTTTGGTAGATTTTCTGAGGCCCATGAATTTGAGAAACCAAATGATGAGAAAGCTTTGAATTTGATGAACTCATGTGCAGCAGCAGTCCTAGAAGAGTTTCCTGATGTTGTCTTCTCTTATGGGGTCAGTGATGAATACAGGTAGTATATTTCTTCCATAGGTTGCTTTTAGCATAGGACTTTCATTTTGTTATTATAAACTCAAAACACCACAAATTAAATAAACATTTCAAGAAAATCAGAACTTGTTTTTGACGTGTGAGTGCGTCTTATGGTAGTGATCTTGGTTTTGGTGTGCTTTTTCTGTTTTGTTTTTGGGCACAAGCATCATTCATACAATGGCTGATATATTCATTTCTGTGCAGGATTGTTTTTTTTTTTCCATGCTGTTCATTTCTTTCTTTTTCTCTTTTAAGGGATATCATTCCGTGTGCACCTTGCATTCTTGTTGAATAAATTGTATTTTTACTATAAAAAGTTTTAATTACCTTGATGCCTTTCATGTGATACAGTGATAGTAATATATAACTATTATCATTGTCATCATTTTCTGTTTGTGTGTCTTTCTGCTACCTGGAAACTAATTTTGTTTGAAATTATGATGTGTAATGCCAATACAAAAGCAAACTTGTCAAGATAAAGAATTGCCTGTCTCTATGTGCTCATGGATGTATTTTGCTCTTCAATGCCACCCTAGAAAGGGGGTTGTAATTGCGAACCTTGACATGTGTCCTTGACAGTAATCTTTTTCAAAGATTAACACATAGAAAGGCCTGATAAGATCAACCATTGTGGATTCATAAGGATAATATGACCATTTTATGCCTTCAATGTTAGGTTAAAATGCCTCCCCCCACCAACCAAATGAAGAGTGGCCTGACACATATACTAGAGTAGTTGTAATTAAGGTTTTGTGAGAAGTGGCTTTTCTTTAATGTTTTGCATATATAAAGTTGATCTTTGATAGGTTGTCCTTGGGAAACCCAAATCCTTCAGATATTTATGGTTATCGGGTTATCTTATCATCTAATTTGGGCTGGTGGGTCAGGTGACTCAATGAGAGTCAAGCTTTTGTCTTTGGTGTGAAGCCTATAATGTTATCAATTGTGATAAGCTTTTGTTTTTGTTGTGAGGCCTATGCCTATCAATAGCCATGAGATTTTAGAGGCTTATTGTAGAGGAAAACCCTTAGATTGTAAATGATTGGATTGGGAGAGGGTGGTAGAGATTTTGATTGGTCTTGAGGCCCTTGGCAGCTTTGTTATGCTTGTGGAGGTTTGGGAGAGAACATAATGCCTTATGGAAGAGGGTGGTAGAGGAAAATAATGGGGCATGCTATTGGGTGGGATTTAAGGTCAGCAACCTCAATTTTACTATATGGGAAGCAATTACAAAGGATGCTTTCAAATTTTATAATAGGTTGTACATCTGAAGTGGGGGCAGATGCCTGGATCAGATTTTGGAAAGAGGCCAGCAAGAATTTTTGTAGTGCTTTCTCATGCTTATTTAATGTAAGCATTGGATATGACTATGGATATTGGATTAACACTTATATATTATGATTTATCATGTTAACACTTTTAAAATATTAAATTGGGTTAATTTAACAATTTTTACTAGAAAGGCCTGTATGTTAGAAGCAGCGATTTAAAAGGCGCGCCTAGGCGCACAGGTGAGGCACATTTCAGGGTATGCGCCTCACCTAGGTCCTAGGCACAACCCTTTCAAAAGGCATGCACCTTTTGAAAATTTGACTCTTTTTTGCTTTTTTTGAACATAGCGGTTGGGCCAGGGACTCCACTCCAGTTCGCTCGCTCACCGAAGCTCCGAGAACCCCCAATTTGGTAATGTTGTTCATTCATTCATCCTAATAAAATGTCTTCTTAAAAAGCAATTAAAACAATAAAATCATTATTTTTTGTGTGAAAACTAAGAACTTAAGACCTAACGTGCACTTGTTTGGGCTTGCCTCGAGGGGCGTGGCACAAAGGTGGCTCGTAGAATCAGGAATATAATATGTTTTACATTACATTAGCTACTTGAAGTAATGCAATTGAGTGAAAGAAGAGATTAGGGGTTTTACATGCTTGAAAATGTTTTATATGTTTGATTTTATTTTTAAATTCTCATTTGAATATGCTTTACATCTTATGTTTATGTATTCTAATTTTAGATAATAGGTTTTTTAAAACATTATTTTAAAATTTAAGTTTATATTTTTTATTAATATCATGTTTAATATTTTTTGATTTTTTTTGAATTTGTAGGCATTTTTTTTTTGTATTTTTGCGCCTTGCTTCAAAAAGGCGTGCGCCTTGCCTTGCACATTGTGCCTCAGGCGCAAATTGACCACTATGCCTTTTTTGCGCCTTGCACTTAACACTGGTTAGAAGTTTAGTTAAAATTTACAAGATATTATTATAGTGTTGAAAAATGACACTTAGCTTCAAAGGTCAATTTAGAAGTAATAAGCATATTAGATGGGATACCCATATTTGTGTCCTTATCTATTGTCTTACGAAATGGAGGGTCACGCCCATTTCTTGCATCTATTTCCATGTCAATATCCATATTTAGACATTACAAGTTATGGAATGAGTGATTTTAGGGGCAATCATGGGCTTGGCTTACAAGCTTATATATTATAAATTATAATATATGATATGTAATCAATCAGAAAAATATAATATATGTTATATAATATTGAATAGTATACAATAGGGCTTATATATTATTTATATCATATTATAATATATATTCTGGGCCATACTGACCCTGCACTCAATCTAGGCCCTAGCCCGGAAATTTGTAGGCCCAGGCTAAGAACGTTCACACCCAAGAGATTGAAAAATTGTATGGAATTCCTCCTTTTGCATGCCTTTGCTTAATTAGGAGCTACTGTGTGGGGTTATTATGGATCTTGGAAGATGAACCAATTCAACTAGCTCGTGAGGATCAAAATGTTTCAGTGTATGATCCTAATGGTGAATTCTCATTCAAAATTTTCTATGATAAGCTGAGAGCGGTGGGTGAACACTTGAGGTTTAGCCAAGATCTGAGGTAGTTAAGACCTGCCTAGAGTGGAAGCTTTTTCTGGCTATAGAGAAAATTCTTACACAAAGTTGATTGAAATCTTAGAACATCAATCTAGCATGAATTCTGGTTACTAATAAACAAACATCAATCTAGTGTGTATTCTGGTTACCAATAAAAAGCATCAATCTAGTGTGCAAGTGTTTAGTATGTGAGGAGTCGGGAGAGGTTGGATAAGTGCCTATATTAAAAAAAAAGGTGATACACAAAATTAATAATAAGTAATAAATATTGGGGAATTAAACTCATGATCTGCACTATGAAACTTTTGGAGAGAATAATTGAGCAAAGGTTATGACATAAAACAAGTATATCAGAAAACCAATTTGGGTTTATGCTAGGGAAATCAACCATGGAAGCTATCTTTCTTTTGAGACAATTATAGAAAAGTTTAGAGAGAAGAAGAAAGATCTTCATTGGTGTTCATTGATCTAGAGAAAGCATATGATAGAATCCCTAGAGAGAAAATATGATTGGTCTTTGAAAAGAAAAGGGTTTCAAAAAGGTATATAAACCTAATCAAGGATATGCATGAGGGTGCAACAACCAATGTTAAAGCACCTATGGGAGAGCCATCGGATTTTCTTTGCCAAGGTTCAACATGTGGCCCTTATTTATTTGCTGATCATAGGTAAAATGACTAAAATTATTCAGGTACCATGGTGCATGTTGTTTGCTAATGTCATTGTTTTAATTGATGAAACTAAGGAAGGATTAAATGCATAGTTTTCAAGGCTCCAAGGCGAGGCTGGGTGTCAGGGGGGCGTCTTGTCGCCTAGTCACTTAGGCGAGCGCCTAGGCGTCGCCTAGGCGATGGATTTCTTTATATAGAAAACATAGATCCTAGGGTAGTTCCCTAGGTACCATAGCCATATTTCCTTACTAATTATTCATAATTTTCATAAGAAAAGTATAGAGTTCATGTTAAAGTATAGAAAAT